TATATATATATATATATATATATATATATATATCAAAAATAAGTAGAGGGCATGCTGTTCGTTTGTTTCGAATTTATCACCAAAAGTCACAGACACCTACTGTAGAAGAATCCTTAGCCCAACACACCCATATATTTACATTACTATATATACTAATAAAAAAGTAGTTCATCACAGATTAAATTATGCAATTTAACTTGAAGTAAGCTTACATGTGTTAGGCCATCTGTTTACAATTACAGAATTTCAAAATTTAAATACAGCAATATGTACAAAAAAAAAGAATGATTTACAACATACTGACTGACTGACTTTATGATTTTAGAAAGTTAGATATTATCTTGTACCCTTCAAAATTGAATTAGTTTTTGCTTGTCCTAGTAAGTTTTTATGAATACAAAAAAAAAACTCAGTAAACACTACATATTAATTCTGTACACATCTTACAATTATGCAAACCTAAAATTTTCTATTACAAATCATTCCTGTCTATGTAAAGCATTGATTACCATCAATAACTCAAACTACATGGCAAACAGCTATATATTTGCTCTGTAGTACATGCAGACAAATTATTGATTCTTTTTATAAGTAAAAATATATACATCACATTAACATTGATAGTTTAAGAAACTAAAAAATTGCACTTACATTCTTTAATTCTACACATATAAGAAATTTGAAAATAATTTATACTACTTGTGAAGATGTGATATAAAATATAAACATAAGGTAACTTAAAAATTATAACAGCAAATTCATTACTGAACAACTGAAAACACAAATCCTATAACTCTACATTAAGTACTATGTATGTTAGTGCTTTTTAATATAAAATTTGCTTCATTAATTGAATCTAATTTTGTTTATATTTTACGTGACACTTTAAACAGACCAAGTAAGATTAGAAAGAATAGTTTAATTTTTTCACGAATAATCAGAGCTCAATGCCTGCCTTTTCACACTAACTTGTTCAATCTTGCTTTAAAAATATTATTTTAATGGGAGTATTTACTATACATTAGTATTAAGTTTTACTCTACCTTGAAATTACTGAAATCTAATATTGTATTAACATTACAGGTCAAGTGCTTTTAATAGCTTTGTGAAAACATGTTAAGGAATATCCATTAGGCCCATCCCACTCACTAAACTTAAAAAAAAAAAAACTCAAAGCTGGCCCTTATCATTCAAATGTTTATCAAACCTTCCCTTAAAATCCCTTTAAATTTACTTCACATCCTCCACATCTGAAGACAGCTTATTTCAAAGGTCAACTACCCTATTAGAAAATAAAACTGTCTTAGCTGAAGATTATCCTAACCTGACAAACGTTAGTCCCCTAGTCCTACCATTCTCACTACTAAGTATAACTATAATTAAAAATGATACATTGACACTATCAATACTTTAACTTTACTTTCTTAAAGAGAAAATAATATCGGATATCTTAAATTGCTCTCACATCCCAGTATCATCCTAGTAGTAGCCCTCTTATGAACCCTTTCCAAAAATTCAAATTTCAACATGCTTCCTAAGGTAAAGACCCCAAGACCAAATACAATAGTCAATACTCCAATTTCAAATGTAGCTTAACCAGTGAACTATATATTAAAACATAGCTTATTCAGACGTAAACTAAAATTTCAGGCAACTCTTAATTAACAGTTTTTCAAGTGTTTGATTAACTTACAACTTTCCAAATGCAAGGAATTAAGCTTACGTCCCAGTAAGGTTAGGCCTAACGCCAGTTGCTCAGTGGCTAGTATTAGAAGTACGACTACGTATGAAAGTTAAAAAGTTCGCGGTGTTAAGTTTTATACATAAATAAAGTTCTCTTTCTCTCTCTCTCTGTATATATATATATATAAACGTATTTACAGATAGTTCAAAAACTTAGCTTTCTTAAAAACTAAAAATCATGTCAAATACCTGTTGTTGAAAGACCTCTATTTGAGAGTTTCTCTTTCAAATCAACGACTCTCAACTTTTTTAATTCTTCTAAATCTAATCTCTCAGCCATCTTCTTTGGTGTTATGAAAAAAATGTGGATATTAGTATAATTAAAAAAAAAATTATTATAAAATTGTGTTTACATAAATTCTGGTATATACGCGTATATATTCAAAGGTGACTAACAATTATAATTTACAAGTAAGAAAAAGAGAGAGATGGAGAGAGAAAAAAGGGGATTAATACATTTTCCAACTATATATTATATATAAACTCTATACTGATATATTTTTCTCTTCACTTTCTTGTATATTACGGAATGATAACACTATAATTGCCTAAATTGTTCATTGATACTTCACACATCTTTCTTCTATATCATTATAACTTTGTATTTATCAAAAGGTAGATGTTTTTGATACTGGTATTTCAGGCACTTGATTAGATTAAAATATGGAGATGTCATTTTAACGCCCTCCCCCAGTAGTTCAGCAACAAGTATGAAAGCTAAAAAACAAGTTTCGATACCCGGGGTAGGCACAACACAGGTAATTCACTGTGTAGCTTTGTGCTTAAGAAAGAAATAAAAAACGTTTTAACAACAGAGAAAAAAATGTAGTAGAGTTTTGCTACAATGTATCAGAAATAGTCTAAATTGTTTTTAAAGTTTCACTTAAAAATGGTTAAAATTATAAAGTGATTATTAAAATTAATGTAACCAGAAACCACTGAATACATTATCACGTGTTTTAATTTTTACCATCACTGGCTTAACTGGGTCATTGTTATAAAAACAGTTGATATAGACACATGGGTATACTGGCTAGTAAATAGTTTGTTTGTTTGTTATTAAGCACAAGCTACACAAAAGACTATTTGTGCTCTGCCCACCACTGGTATCGAAAAACCCGGTTTCTAGTGATATAAGTCCGCAGACATACCACTGTGCCACTGGCGAGGGGGTAGTAAGTAGAAAAGTGGGTTTTGTTTCGACAAACTTCAACTATCGATAAGTATATTTCTCGCAAAGCTACTCAAAAACTATCTGCGATAACTGTCCATAATTTTGAAGTAATGGACTAGCGGAAAGGCAGCTAGTTAACATCATCCACTGCCAACTCTTTACCAATGAATAGTGGGATTGACAGTCACATTATAATGCCCTACGACTGAAAGCGCGATCATGTTCAATAACAGGATTCGATCCTGCGAACAGTAGATTTACGGTCGAGCTCTCTAATAGCAAGCCGTTTTCTCTATAAGACAAGTCTATCTTCATAAATGAGACGAGAGAGCTTCTGAGGCTGTTTTCTCAATCAAGGTTAGAAAGAATGATAACTTTTATTCATAGCTACACAAAGGGCTATTTAGCTGTGCAAGCCGCCCCTAATTTTGAAAAGATAACTAGTTGGAAGTCAACTAGTTAACATCACCCACCGCCAACTCTTGAGTTATTCTTGTGTGACCGTATCAGTGGATTGAACAGTCATTTTTATAGCGCATCCTCTACCCAAAGTACAAATCGCGTTTTTACGGCAATAAATCATGAACTTTCTATTTCACAGCACGGGGAAGCAAAAAAAATAAAAAATAATTTAAATCAGGTTTTAAGCAAAGAAACTTTAGAAACTTTAATAACTGATTGAAAGTAAGATTTATTATTAACATTTATATTTAAATTAACATAAAAAGATAGTGCGATGAATTGTTTTTGTATAGAGCTCATTATTCCTTACTTTTGGTAAGTTTTGGCTATAAGAGAAGCCCCCCAGTGGCACAGCTGTATGTCTGCGGACTTACAACGCTAGAAACCGGGTTTCGATACCCGTGGTGGGCAGAGCACAGATAGCCCTTGTGTAGCTTTGTGCATAATTAAAAACAAACAAACTATAAGAGAAAAATTATTTTTCGATTTTAATCGCCCTTCCCAGTGGTACAGCGGAATGTCTGTGGACTTGTATTGACAGAAACCGGGTTTCGCTACTCGTGGTGGGCAGAGCACAGATAGCCCTTTGTCTAGCTTTGTACTTAATAATAAACAACAACAACGATTTTACTGTACATCTTATAAATATTTATTAATGTCTTAAAATTTTAAAACGAGTGAATCGTTTGAGCATATTTATTCAAAATATTTAAATAAACTAAATAATGAACAAATGAAGATTTTAGTAATAACATTTTTGAATCATTCATTCAATCACTAATAGAATGTTAAATATTAATATATTTATCAACTGCTAATTTCATAACAAAGCGTGAGAATTTATTGCTAAAAATGTTTGTTTGTTTGTTTTTGGAATTTCGCGCAAAGCTACACGAGGGCTATCTGCGCTAGCC